ATAGCCGCCAAATCAAAACAGGACAGTTATTCCGGAACACTTTTCAAATAGAGCAGGTCTAGACCATCTCCACATCTTAAACCATTTCAGAGAACCACAAACAGTACCACCATGAGCAAGCACTTGGCGACAAGGGCAAGGAAAAACTGCCTGTTAAAAGGCAGAAACCTAGGACAGATCCTTCGGCTCTAGGTGGGTGGTCGTCTGCCTCGACCAAGACAACATTGTGTTGCATAATAATAGTAATAATAATAATAATGAGACGGTAATTGTGACATGCACAGACCAAGGAGCCTACATGAAATGCATAAAACATTCTAGCACAATCTGTATTCGGAGATAGTGGAATGGGACTGACTGATGAGGTGGTTTTCAAGGGCAGAAGAGACTGCCCTCAATCTAGTGCCTAGAAGTGAGACGTGGTAGTTTGATGCTATTGAGAAAGGAGTTCATGTCATCTTCTTTGTGTCGCTGCTGAAGGTTGACATAGAAGTTTCTGAAGATTTTATTCATATCCTCACAGGATTGTGTAGATTGCCTGCTGAGAAAAAAATCTTGCATTCTACACTAAGTCTTCAGAAACTTGTGTATCATATGTAGCTGTTAGTTTCAATTATGCACTTTTTCCAGTCCTCTTTATGTGTTTGCCTCCCAACAGTGGTCTGTGGTGGGACTCTGAATGCCACAGCCAGCATCCAGACCCTAACCTCACCCTCCTTCCCTAATGCCTATCCCCCTTACACCTCCTGCCGCTGGATCCTGGATGCACCAATCCAGGAAACCATCCAAGTATCAGTCCAGACCTTTGTCCTGCAGCCCAGCCAGAGCTGCTCCACAAACTACCTGGAGATGAAGGACTGGCCTATGGTAAGTTTGGAAAGGGACTGGACCAAAAGGTGCTGCTATCGTAAACAACAAAACCTATACCAATGGTTCAAATGAGTAGCAGTTATAAGGAGCAACTTTATAATTTGGCCATTACTAAATTATCCACAGAGGATGTCCTTGTCATTAAAAAACTAATTTATAATATTCTAATATCTATTCTGAATGAGGTGATTCTTGTGTTTCCAGGGAGACTATGGGCAGTCACATAAGTTTTGTGCCTCGGATGGACATCCACTAGACTTCTACAGCTACGGCAGAACTATCCTGGTGGACTTCAAATCGGATACCTTCATGACAGGAAATGGCCTGAGTTTCACCTATCAGATTGCCAGTAGGTACCTGTAGTAACAACCTGTCCCTTCCATAATGATCATAATAATTTTGACTGGAGGAGTATAAAAAGCGAGGAAGCCCACATGGAGGGGGGTTGATGGAAGGGGGTTGATGGAGGGGGTTGATGGAGGGGGTTGATGTTCCATCTTTGGTTTAAAAAAGAGACTGTGCATTGATCTGTGGAAACTTTGACCCATGTATACCAATATCTGGCTGCTAAAATCAGTAGTACGTAGTTTGAAAGGTAGGGTCACTGAAATTACAGAAAAACCTTTTCCTTTTTTCATTTTGTCTTCATTTTCTCTGTAGTGGTATTTATCCATGTAGTTATTATAGGTTTCATTTTCCAGGTTTTCACCAAAACACCCAAATACAGTGTGGGTAAAGTGAATTTCATTCGTGCTGCTCCATACCTCTTTAGAAGGACAGTGTCTCTATTTCTGTCTTCTTTTTACAAAAAAATAGTCCCAATAAAAACTGCATAATAGGTTTTTAAACAGTGGGCATGACGGGTACTGAGGGATCTTGGTTCCAGATAAGTGGTCTGATGGTGGTGGTGGTTTCCAGGCTGTAGCAGAACCTATGAACAGGAATACGGCTACCTGAAGAGCCCAGGCTGGCCTGACGTCTATCCTCACAACATGGACTGCACCATTATCCTGAAGGCACCACAAAACAGCCACATCTCCTTTTTCTTTAACAATTTCGATGTGGAGAGCCACAGCAACTGTGAATTTGACTACCTGGAGGTAAAACAACCAGCACAGACACAGGCAATTTCACCTCCTACATGTTATTCATACTCCATGCTGAAACAAGAAGCACCACCTTTCAATAGTTGGAACTATACTATTGCCTAAAATACAACTATGCTAAACAATTACGATTTTCCTTCCATTCACCGTCAAATTTCTTTATACAAGTGGTATAATCTGCAACAATCCTTTGACACATACCAGTGACAAGGTGCTAGGGATGTCCCGATTCCAGAAATTTATACCAGTTAAATCCCACTATTCCCCTGTCAGGGCGGAAAGAATTTATTATTATTATATATACTGTAGGTATATATAATTGATACCTACAGTACTTATGGTACTGTAGAAAAATTAGTACTGTTTAAAACAAAGTATTGTTCTAGTGACATCCCTACAAGGCGCAGCTCCTGAACAAAGTTTGAAGTTGTTTTTGTTTTTCTGTGATTACAACTAAAAGAGTGAGTCAACTAAGACTATTCTCGTGGCCTCACGGTTTAGACTGTTGAGGACAGCCCTAGATGCTCCTGGCTGTGACTTCTTTGTGTTATGTCAGTAACTTAGTAAATTGCAACACTCTCATTTGTCTCTCAGATTCGTAATGGCAGTACAGCAGACTCACCACTGATAAATCGGTTCTGCGGCAGCACCCTGCCCAGCCCCATCTTCCCACAATCCAACCTGCTCTACTTACGGTTCAAGAGTGACTTCTCTTCCGCTCGAGATGGCTTTGAGGTCACATGGACATCCTCCCCTCACGGTCAGAACTGAACTGTTTATTTAAGCAAGGTTTTATAAGGAAGCACTTACAGGTTTTCATTCCAAGCAATATATTGCTCATACCAAGAAAACAGTTGCTGTTACCAATTAATACATTTAAAACTAAGAAGATGATGATTGAAATATATCACCTGTGTTCAAACTCAGATTTTGTTTCTGAGTTTCTATGTTCAGATTCAACATGCATAAACTTTGTTTCTGGAGACTCCTATCTCATCTATTCTAGTTTGCCACTGCAGTAAGGGGGACTGCTGATTTATCAATCTCACTCGGATCCAAAATATCCAATCTGCTTTCTTCATTAGCAGAATAGTGCAATAAATGAGACTTGTTATTCTATAGGGCATGGAACGTTGATGTGTTTACTGAAGTTCTATACTTCCATTCATCTGGTTTTATTATCTTACGTTTTTATCTTGTGTGTCTTTAAGTGGTATATGTTTTTGATATATTTAAAGGACCAGTGTGCAGGAGTTCTATCTACAGCCAGTGTTTGGTATGTCAGTTCTACACTACCGTAGGAACATGGCAGTATATTATATTCTGGTATATATTCTGGTGACTATACACTGATGACCATATGATACATTTTCTACACACTGGACCTTTACATTTTTCTAGTATTTACATGGTTATTACTACTTGTAATAATACAGCCTGGAAGCTGTAGAAATGTCTTCCTGTTGCTTACCCTGCCTTTCTTTCAGCTTAAGCATCTTTGTTTAATGTGTTTGTGCACTAGGCTGTGGTGGCACTCTGTATGGCAACCATGGTTCATTCTCAAGTCCCAACTACCCAAGCACTTATCCCAATGGTACCCATTGTGAATGGGTTATCGTGGCACCCAGGGGTCGTGTGGTGACCATCACCTTTGCCCAGATCAGTATTGATGACCCTGGAGATTGCCAGAACAATTTCTTGAAGTTATATGATGGCCCAGACACCTCATCACTGCCTGTTGGACCTTACTGTGGAGTGGTATGTAACCCAAGAAAGCAATACCACTTCAGCTGTAATGTAGCAGACTTGGGGGGATATTTACTAACCTTCCTCTTTTTTTATGTTGTCCTAGTAATACTCAGTGTCTCCTTGTCATAGTGTTTTAGGTTTGGTGATCCTTTTGAACTTCAAAACAAAACATGGACAAAGGATTATGAGAAAAAAGTTTTTCAGAGATACATTTTTTCACATTGTTAGCAATCTTGATGGCAGTTTAACAGTGGCCCAAGGCAGGGAGGAAAAACCAGATGAGACACTGAAAGGAGAAGGTAGACTGAGATAATCAGCAGGGAATGAACCTGAAGCACAGGCACAAAACAGGGTCAGACAGGAGAGAGCTTGGAGCACCATGCCCAGACAAACACACAGACACCTTTACCTTGATTAGGTGAACTGAGTAAATAAACTTGGTTTATATTAGTAGATTCCTCATAATATTGTTCAGTGTTAATGTGACAACCATAGAAAAAAGAACCTGCAATTGCCCATTCCAGAAGTCAAACCTGGTTCAACCCTCTATTATACTACAAAGGGTAAAAAAAAATAAATTTACAGCACCATGTTATTCTGTTGCAATGCAATTTAACATGGATGTATAGAGAGTATTCCTCCCAACAATTTCCCCCCTTTTGGTAGTCATCGCTCTCAAAAAGGTTGGATACCCCTGTTATAGTGTATGTGCGAGATGAGAGACTTATTAGAGTTTTTTTTCTGTATCTCAGTTTACATATCTATGGAAATTGTCATTAAGGACTATGGTTGTTGGTTTAAATTTACAAGCATGTTTCTCCTTTCCTTGTTGTTTGTTCAGGAAACCAACATTGCTCCATTCACTGCCTCTTCTCATCAAGTCTACATCATTTTCCAAGCCCGTTATGCCAACCTGCCTTCAGGGTTCAGACTTACCTGGAGCAGCTGAAAGAATGCTTTTCTTCACACACACACATCCACAGTTCCTTATTAATTTCCTAATCACATTTTAATGTTTACATTAAATTAATTACATTTTAATTATTTAAATCAAACCAATATAAATAATAAATCTATACTACTATAATAAATGCTTGAAATACAACAAGTTGGTCAGTCATTTGTTATGGCAACAGTAGTGCATGCAGATGTGAGAACTTAGCTACATTTTTTGTTTTAATTTATTTGCCTTAGCATGCAAAAACTGGATTAAGAAACACATTAAAAACACAACGGCACCACTGCAGCATGGCTTGTAATGCACGTCAAGCGCTACCCCTAGACAGCTGCTTAGAACAGCAGGCGGCGTAGTTGTCTCATTTAGCAGAATGTAACCTGAACCATTTCAACTGTAAAGGCCAACTGATTAAAACAAAAATGTGGCATGGACTAGAATAGATCAACCATATTGGCGCATATACAATTATATAGTGAAATTTGTCCTCTGCATTTAACCAATCTAAGTATTAGGAGCACTGGGCAGCCAGTGTACAGCACCTAGGGACCAACTCCAGATCTGAGCCAGTGTTTTTGTCAAGAGCACTGAAATGAACCTAACATAGATGTTTTGATAGTGGGGAAACCGGAGTCCCCAGAGGAAACCCACACACACACAGGGAGAACATGCAAACTCCACACAGAAACCCCCTTCTTGCTGTGAGGCAACAGTGCAAAGCACTGGACCGCCACTGAGTTTGGTATTGAGAATTGTGAAATTTCACTGACACTTTTCACTGACTGATAAACAGTTACAATAAAATACCTTAAAAACTGAAGGAATTAAGTTATGTTATCAGGCACTGAAACCCAGTTAAGGACGAAATAGCTTTAACTGAGGGAACAAAGTGTTTAAAAAGTCAGACCATAAATCACTTAACATGAATAAAATACTTTAAAACCAAAGTAACCAGGTTAAACTAGTACTACATGGTTAAAGACTCCCAGAATGCAATGCTCTTTAAATTTGAAAACAGTGCATTACTTAAATGCAGTTGGTGGAAAGGTCAATTAAATCCAGTCCGATTGTGTTTGCCAGCGACGTGATCCATTTCCCCTGCCTACTAGCAGTGGCTACTGGGTAAATCCATGAATGATTGAAGGACAAGCGGCTTCTTCTCAACCCAGGTCTGCAGTGCACTGTCTGGGCAGCTCAACAGGAAAGACTGGTAAATGGTAAAT